GGAATTCTGGGAGTTGAAGTCCACACATCTTCAAGTGGCCAAGGTTGAGATACACCGGTCTGGTCTAAGTCCCTGAGAATTTCCCTCCCAACTTCTAACCAGACCCAACTCTGCTTAATTTTCATCCCCAGACAAGCTCTTTGACTTCTGAGACAGGAAGGATACATTAAAGGTAATGATTTCATGAGATAGCGGAGCTATCTTCATTTTTCCCTCCCACCCCTAGAATAGCAATAGAAACAATTCAGTGGGTCAGGAACATGTTGCATCACCATCTAATTCTCAGCCTTTTGTATTCCTGTCATTATGTTGAATGCAGGTACCACAATCATCTGGTTTACATCACGGTGCAGCACACACTTCACCTTTCCCTCTCTCCCAGCAGATGCATGCAGTCTGAAAAATAGTCTTTTGGAATTGTATGGTTGGGAATAAGTTTTCAAGCAAAAGATTTTGTTTGGGAGCTGATCCACAGAGTTTAGTTCCAGGAGAACAAACTTTTGGGGGTTAAAAGTTGGTGGGATCTTTTGGTGACCATACCAGTCCATGGTCTTGATGAAAATCACATTCCCTCCTAGGGATGATTTTACTAAGAGAATAATAAAGTTTTGGACAACAATATTTGGGGGTGTGAGATTGTTGGCTTTTTCCCACTTGCACCTAATCATTATGAACATCTCCCAGGAATCTCTTTTCTTCTGCCTTGCCCACATGGCGTTGCCTTCATCTCATCCTCAGCCCATGCCTGAGGCTACTTCAAGTTCTCCATACAGCTGTTCCAGTGTTAACAGATTTTCTTTGAAACAGAAAGCAAGCCACAGCAAGTTTGCTGTGGGTACAATCTGATAGCTTGGCCTGACCATTCCCTCAGTGCTGTAATCTGGTGTCTGATAGAATCAGTTAGGCATGAACTGGGAATGTTTGAGAAAAATCTCTCAGAGGGAATTCCTCCATTCATTTTCATCCCAATTGTGACTTACAAGTTTTTCCTCCCTTCTCACTTGGCCCTGCAGGGACACAATGAGGTTTGCAGAAGGCCAGAGTACTTGAATCTCCAAATGCTTCATGATGGGTTTGCAAAGCCAGGTCAAGCACATGTGGCCATGTTCAGTAGCACTCCGTGGGCAAGACCCCGAAACAAAGAGAACAGGGTGTATTTGTTATCAAGCAAGAAGGAACTACAGTTGTGTAAAAACATGTTTGGTTCCAAAGAGACCCAAGGCCCAAAATAAGTGGGTCAGACTGCATCTGCATTGCGCAACAGCAAAATTCTCTGTGAGCTCTAAGTGTCTAGCCCTCTTCCTCTTGCATCTTTCTAGCCATTAATACAATATAGAAACTGCTTCCTTTTGAAGTTCACTCGCTTGCTGAATATTTGCTGCTACAATTTAAACTCTTAACTCTGCTCAAGAGCTCCATGCTAAAACATGTATTAATACTCAAGTTGCTTAAATGCTTCCACAGAAGGCAGAAGAGAGGGTTAAAATATGGTTATTTCTCTCTTTGGGCTGCTGGATTAGAAAAGAACGCCCTGTGAAAACAGGACTGCTCTTTACTTCCCTTCCGAAGGCCACGAAGGGGTGGAAAAGGAGTAAAATTTGGGGAGATTAGCAGTAATCTCAAACTCCATCCACTGTTGTGCCCACTGTGATCTGGCCACCCCAGATCTTTTTGAAGGTGATTGGGAGGTGATCAAAGATAGTTACTCTCCATCTGTCGTCATGTCCTGGTGAGCAAGAAGGGGTAAGGGAGCAACTGACTGGGTCAATTGTGTTGTGCAAACACAGTCTTTGTTGAGGTCTAGGGGTTGGTAAGATGGACCTTGGCATGTGCCCAACAATGGTGATCCTTGACTTAGGTTCTAGGCCTGCACCATAAGACATGCACACAAGAGCTTGTGAACTGCCTTGAACTGGCTTTCCGTCTGCGGTATTTAGGTCAGAGTTATATAATATTCCAGGGAAAGGCGTTACTAGGCACCAAGTGGAAATGGCAAGGGGGTGACCTGGAAACCACCCCAGAATGAGATCATTGTTGCCAGGCTACAAGTTCATAGGACGCCTGCTCTGGGTCAGTGCTGGAACAGTTGAGCCTTGTGTCTGCTGGACTGGTTGGGCTTGTATGTCATGGGCATACTCACTCCTGCTCTCATCCCACGCCGGGCAACAAGTAAGGGATTGTGAACTGGAAATGTCATTACCCCCGTCTGTCTCTGCATCATGATCTCAGCTTCTGGGAATGGCCAGGTTGAGAACTATGGCAGGTGGAAAGGATTTGGTTTCAAAACCCAGGAGAAATGCAGGAAGGGAGGCAGAGACATGGTCCAAGGGAAGCAAGGTTAAGTTCCTGCCAAGCCAAGTCAAGGTCTAAAAGAGGGATCCATAACTGGCAGTCCATGTGGCCCCTAAATGTCTTGGTGGTGGCCCCTTCCAACCTTGTCCCCAAATTCCCAACAGATTGTAATATCTGATGCAACAGAAGGGGGATGTTTTTAAGAACATAGAAAGTAGTTTAAGTCATTAATTAAACAGTTCAATTTACTTATCTTTAAGTTAACATTTGCTTGAGTTCCCCTCCCCCTTTCACTTTTTGGAGGGTAGGTCCTGGCATGCCTCTCAAAAACCAAGTTTGGCCAGAGACCCCAAAAGTCTTTGGCTTAAAGATAGTGGAAAATGTCATAACTGTTCCCTCTTTACAAAAGGGACTGTGAGGATGGAAACAGCAAGTAATTCAAGGACAACCAACATATCCATGAGCAAGGATTTTAACCCAAAGAAATGGCTTGGTTCTTGGGAGGGGGGTTCCCCTTTATCCCACCAGTATGAGAACTAAAAAAAAACAAAGCATTGTCCTTGATAGCCCTTGGATGTGATGGCAAGGCCACCAGCTGGAGGGATGACTCTGAATTCCATTGCAATGGATAATGTATTTAACCATGACGTCCATAACTTCCTTGCAAGATCACAAGGGAAAGCAGCCTTTGCAATCTTCTCCAAATTTATCCTTGCATCTGAGATCCAAAAAACCATTTTTGCTCTGAGACAGAAAGGAAGAGTCAAGATTTGGCTTGAGTCCCTTATTCAGCCCTTATGTCCCATGTGGCTGAAGCTTGGATGAGAAAATGCAGGCCATATGGTGCCTCCTAGATGGCTTGTACTACAACTCCCATTGTCCCTTGCCAATGTACTAGCAATGATGGGTGTTGGAATCCAATAGGGTGGGAAGACATGAAGCTAGAGAGAGGCCCATTTAGCAATTGAGCCTGTCAACTGACACCATCCTGATGGAAGTTAAATTCTCTAATCATGATCTTTTCCAAAGATTAAAACTGAACATCACTGGTGAAGCTGTAAACTATAAAAGTAGATGATGGCTCCATCACAGTCAGAATGTCTTCATTCCTAGCAGAGCGGGGGGTCTGTAGACTTCCAGCTATTGGAAAGCAACTCCCATAACTTGAGATTATTGGTCACATTATCTCAGGCTAATGGAAACGTAAGTCCACTGAAGGTCATCCCAAGGCAAAAGACAGGATGTGTAGCACAATGTTTCTTCCAAGAATGAGCATCATCTGATGGTTTTGAAGAAGCAGCCAGGGAGCTCTCCCTACTGTCCTTAGCATCTGCCACTGGAGACCGTTGTTCATTCTACCTAATGGTGGGACCAGGCCACTGAATCCAACAACATCTGGAGAACCAGTGTTCCTCATTCCTGATCATAGATTTCAGAATGAAGGGGAACACCCTCTGAGGATTACTTGACATTCAACCGCGGTATGTGGGTGTTGACACCTTCTTCTTTTTGCAATGAATGGATCACTTGGGTCAACCTTCTTGCATATGATGGGATGCACCTTGTTTGTTTTGGGCTTCAGTCCATTGTGTGCATCATGAAAAAGTGCGCAAATACCAGGCCATGTGTTTGATTGGTGGTAGCTTGTTTTTTGATAGTCATAAAGCAATGGTGTCACAATGGTGAACCAGCCCACTGTACAAACCACACACCCTCCCTTATTGGCCTCACTCTGTTTCATTCCAGACCAGAGAGGCTCTGTTCACCATCCTCAATGATCTTCGGCCTGAAGACCATTTCAACATTATTGGCTTCTCCAATGAAATTAAGGTCTGGAAAGAAGAGCAGTTGGTACCTGTGACTTCCCACAACATACGAGATGCAAAGTTCTACATCCATCGCGTGCCACCTAATGAAGGTAATCTTGGCCCTCAAGAGGGATATTCAGGGTTATGGCAAGAGTTAACCCATCTTTTTTGAGCTGGGTGGCACATTAGGGAAGTTGAGCTCAAGTGGTAGGCACAGTCACAAAATGGCTGTCTTGTTGGGGGTCTGTCACAAATTCTGTTTGTCAGAAGGAAAAACTACACACAGAGGTACCCCCAATGCTCTCTATCATTCCCTTGGCTTTTTGTGAGGCTCAAAGGCATAGCATTGGTGCCCATGAGTCTGACATTGCCTCTCCCCAGATTATATGCATCTTCTCTTTTACCAGCAATAAGACAGTACCCCTATTTATTTATTTATTTATTTATTTGACTTGTCCCCGCCCATCTCCCCACAACGCTAGTATATAATATAGTGCATAAAACATGTTAGTTATTTAACAGTGACAGGCTTTTAATCAATGCATGAAGCAGAAGTTCAACACGGTGTAGCGTTCTTCTAGAGCAGCATTTCACGGCATTCATTGGACTTGTTAGCAATGCGTTATGGCTTCATGAAGTCTGCTAAAGGTCATGGATAACAGCATCCAGTGGAGTTTCAGTCCTGGATTAAACCCAGACTGAAAACAGTCCAGAGTCCTTTGTGCCAAGAGCATGATAAGATGGAAGATTGTAGGCCCATACCTCTGAGATAGGCCTAAGAAGCTGCTGTAGAGCTACCAGATGTTGCTTGCCACCATTTGGAGGACTGCTAAACAACAGGTAAATTTAGGAGGTGCTGCATCTCTTTCCTGTCAGATCATGATCATCTGGATGTTGGCAACCTGGTTCTGGCAGTCCTCCTCTTACCATCTGCTTTAATTAGTCCAGCATCATCTTGCCCCTTCTTGTAGTAAACTGGATGCTTCTGAGAAGTCTACAAACCCAACACTTCCAAACAATCATGTCTAGCACGGAAGACCTTGCTCTCTCTTGTCATTCTGTATCACCAGTACAGAATTTAACATCCTTTGGGTCTTCCAGGGTTTTCTCTAATCCTCTTTGAGAAAACTCAGATGACAAATCTTAGAAGGACGCAAGAATCAAAGCGTATTGGCTTGCTCCAGAATTTGGACAAGAGGAGGGGTGCATGGGTTTTGTTACCGGCTGAAAGCATTAATGATTGTCACACAGGATGTTTCAGAACTTTAAGGGAGCTTAAACGTCTTTGAGCTAAGGTCAGCATAAACACAGGGAGGCACATTTGCCAATACTTCAGAATCAGCAATAGAGAGAAGGTTACTTTAATGCTTTAATGTTATTTTATCCTCAGTGTTTTTAAACGGTTGTCTTCCTCCCCACCCACACCCACACCCACAAACCTGTATCCTCCTTTCGAGAAACAAGGGTTGGTCTTCATGTCAATCCAAGTAAACAAGACATTCAGAGAATGATTTTTTAATGTTCCCTTTGCTATATTTACGCCAGGGGCAAATACATTTTCACAGCCCAGTTCTGGGCAAAGCAGTTCAGTGAATGCTTTTAATTAAAGCAGGCCGTGCTCAAATGTAATGAAGTAAAATAAAAGAAGCCAGTGGCAAGTTGGAAAAGAGGCCGATGAAGCTGGCCCCTGCATTTTTACTCAGAAATCATCGAGACATCTCCCCGGTCTAAGAGATTCAGTGTGGCTTATTCCCAGGTATGCGTGCATAAAATTTCAGCCTCTGCACAGGGCATTAAACAGTCATCCCATGCAGAAATAACACAGCAGCTGGTTCTTTCAACACCCCCCCCTTTTTTTTCTTGCCTTGCCAGTGTGTTCTCTTAAGAGAAACACTTTCTTTTTGCTGTAGAATGTTTGAATAAAATCAGACTTGCACGGTGCAGTCCTGTACCTGTCACTCAGTAAGCTCAGTGAAGCTGATTCCCAGCTAAGAAGGTAGAATACAACAGGCTTTTAAAATGAAATTAAGCAATAGAATTCGAATAAGGCGGCACCGGTGGCATTTTGCAACTTTACTACAGCCTCTGATACCTCTGTGCCCAGATATCATGCAAACTCAGCCTTATGTCATTACTGAACTAAACCACAAAGGAAGCTGTTGGGACTGGTGGATGGTTTTGACAGGCAACTCAAAAGTCACAGATTGGACCAATGTCATAGATTTGCTGTGGGCTTTAATCCATCCTTCGCCCAGGCGAAGTGGGAGAGATCGTGACAGTGTTCTCGTTTTGCCAATGTGCCAACCCGATCAGCGTTAAAAAAAAAAAAAAGCAACCTCCTCAAAGTTGCTTACAACTCCTCACCCCCAGCTGAGCCCCCATACACAGTTTGAGAACTTCAGGATTAAGTTAATGGCCTGTTTTGCAAAACATGATAATGCCAGAGCTGGGTTTCCACAACCAGTGGAGCCACAAACTGGCCAATGTTGTTTTAGCCTAGTCTAGTCTGTTGTGTGAACCCGGCTGGTTAAGATCAACTTTGCAGTTCTATCCAAGGAACCTGTGATGGAATGGACTTATGAAGGCCAGGCTCAGGGAGACAAGCGTGTTCTTTGCCCCCAACAGGAGCATGGGAAGTTCAAGAAGATGAAGCTGGCACGTCCCTAAGGAATTCACGCTGTTGCGGCTGGCTGGCTTGGGAACTAGGGTTCAGTCTGGTGAGATTTCTGTCCTGAGGTTGAAGCTAATAAACACAACAGA